GCGACGCGGATGCGCCCGGGGGTGGACGGGGCCGGGGGCATGTCTGCGGCCGGGCCCTCCAGCTGTGTCCCGCCTCCCTCGGGGGCGGCCCGAGCCGGAATAGCGCCGCCTGTGTGGCGGCCGCTCTCCGCCGGGGTCCTCGCAGCCCGGGCACGGCCTGGCACCCCCGCCTAACGCGCTGGACGGCCGCCACCAGGTGCCTCTCTCGGCCTCCGAGATACTGGTGTAAACGGGCGAGGAGTGCTTGGCCTTGCAGACTAACGCCTCACCCAATTTTGCCGAAAATGACAGCGTACAAATGAACCCACCTTCTCTCGGGCAGCTTACTGGTTCTAAAAAGTCCATCTGGCTCTAAAGAAAGATAAACTTCAGGTATCTGTAGGAAAATGGATGCACCTTGAGACCATACTGTTAAGTGAAATAAATCAGACGCACAGGCTCAACTCTCTCATGGTTTCTCTTACTTGAGAAACCCAAAGGATAAATAAAGAGCAACATGAAATAGGAAACAGATATTTTGGCAATGGGAAGGGGACCAAGAGTGGAGGGAGAGGGCCGGGGATACAGCTCAGCGGCCGAACGCCTGCCTGGCAAGGGCAAGGTCCTGAGTTTGATTCCCAGTACAAAACAAACAAAAAAACAAACCGAGAGTGGAGGGAGAGGGGCTGGGGATTTAGCTCAGCGGCAAAGTGCCTGCCTGGCAAGTGCAAGGTCGTGAGTTCGGTTCCCGGTACCAGAGGGGGAAAAAAAAAAAAAAGAGTGGAGGGAGGAGGGAAGAAGACAGAAAAAAGAATTAAGATGTGTTATGTACAGGTACCAACACCCGCCCCCGCCGAGCGATCATTATGTACCGAAAACAAGCGCTCATAGAGAAAAGTCTGTCTGCTAAGAGAAAAGACACTGACTGACTGCCGGAAGCAGCCCCCTCCAGGTGCCAGAGGAGAGGAAGGGTCAGATGCTGACCTGCCTCTGTGGGAATCCTCAATGCTTTAACTGATGGGAACAATTCACACTAGGACAAGTACCTAACACACAGTAGGCTCTTTAAAATGGGGTCCAAAAAATACAATAAAACAAAAATAGGGTTCTCCAGTTGTCCTGAGCTTAATGTTGTTACCCATCCCTTAGAGGTAACAGGTCCTCAGCTTCTGGATGTAGCTCATCAAAACACACAAATCACGCTAGCAAGCCTCCCCCTTCAGAGTTCCCCAGCTGGAGGCAGTGTAGTGGCGGCTGCCTGACTGTAATCCCAGCATTCAGGAGGCTGAGGCAGGAGGATCACTGTGAGTTCTAGGCCAGCCTGTGGTACATAGTGAGTTCAAGGCAGGCCTGGACTGCATAGCAAGACCCTGTCTCTGCCAAAAAAAAAATGGTACTTGTCTTGATTAATGAAGGCTACTTCTTAATCTGATTCCAAGAACCTTTCACAGGGAGGCTCACTTTTCAGCACTGGGCCCGTTTATCCAGCCCTGAACCCAGGCTGCTGAATTAGCCGATTTTGCATAACCATGCTTTGCTGCTTGGCCTTCTGAGAATTGGGAAGGAACCCCGAGTAGTCACATCCACAGAATGCACTGGGGCGGGTACACAGGCAACCAATCTCAGGCTGTAGCCGATGGCTGCATCTTGTCTCCGGCTACCTGGCTGTTAAAGCTGTATAGAGCCTGCCTAAAAAGAACCAGAGCCCACCTTTCGGAGTACAGAAGAAACTGTCTCCCCCTTTCCAGCCACATGGCTTTTTGCTCCTCAGTATAGAATCATCCTGCTACACTTACCTCCCTGGGCAGAATCTGTGTACACAATTCACCAGCTAATCAAATTGGCACACATGGGGCTGGGGATTTAGCTCAGCGGCACAGCGTCTGCCTGGCAAGCACAAGGTCGTGAGTTTGATTCCTGGTACCGGAAGAAAAAAAACAAAACAAAACACAAAGTAATGAATTTTTAAAAAAGTACCCTCTGCTGGGGCGGGCAGAGACTGTTGAAGGTGAATATTCACTCTTTCTTTGAAGAACTTAACGGCAGGGCAACGTGGTACACACCTATACTTGAAGCACTCTGGGAGGCTGAGGCAAGAGGATCCCAAGTTCCAGAGACTTGTTAAGATCCTGCCTCAACACAAAAAAGGGCTGGGGATGGAGCTCAGTTCCAAGGCTCTGAGGGTGAGGCGGGGAGCAAAAACGAAAACCTCGGCACTAAAGATGCGCTCAGGGGCAGAACGCTTCTCTAGCATGTGTGAGGACCGCTGGGAAAAAAACAAAATACTTGTCTTCAGGAAACACTAGCCTGAACTTACTGTTTTTTTTTTTTTTTTTAACACTTACTCTTTGTAACAAACTATATTTTTGTGATACTAATAAAGGGTTCATAGCAATAATTTTTAAGAAGGCAGAACCATTAGGTCCATTTCTGGAAGCATATGAGACTGAAATTAGCTACTTACAAAACAGCAGTAATAGAGATTACTAAATGAATCCACAAGGACAATGGTTAGGAGCCCTCTGGTGTCTAAAGGACCCCAAAAGTCCATTGAGTCTATATACACCTTTCCAGAATGGTCTGGTCAGGTCGTGTACAGGAAGTCTGTCAAACATGATGTTCAGTGACTGTGGACCATTTATACCCTACATTGTAACAGCCAGTCCAGGGGATATTAAGAACTTGTTCCAGAGGTAAGGGAATAGAATTAGAAGTTTTTGAGGACCCCCCCAAAAAAAGTTTTTGAGACAAGATCTTGCTATAGTTTAGGCTGATGTTGAACTATGTAGTCCAAGATGGCCCTGAACTCACAGCAATCCTACCTCAGCCTCCTGAGTGCTAGAAGTACAGGTGTGTAGAACCACACCCGGCTTAGAGCTCTTTTGAAAGTTGGAGTCACGGATAGTGGCGTACACCTGTAATCTCAGCACTCAACTGAGAGGCCAAGGCAAGAGAATCGCCCCAAGTTTGAGGCCAGCCTGGGCTACATAGTGAGTTCAAAGCTAGCCTGAATTACGGTGAGACCCTTTCTCAAAGTAAACTAGTATGTTCAAATTATTAGAGAAGTAAGTAATCAACTGCGGAGATAGCGTTCAAGTTTTGAAACTAAACCGGACACCTTGTCCTCTATGCTTTGGGAAAGCACCGAGTAGCTTACCAGGAAGGAAATTAGCTCAACAGCAGGCAGCTCCTTTCTTTTCTCTGCTCAGCAGCCCCGGGACGTGCTACCCACCCACCCCCTCCACTCCCCAGGGCACGCTCAGCTCTCCACTGGGCACTCCGACAACACAGGAACCCACATGGCCACTTTAGTTTCTCACAGCTCAGTCCACTTCATTTATGCCTAATTTACAACCCCACCCCCCCCCCCCCCCCAAAGTATAGCTGGCTGCAATGCAGTGGCTGGAGCCTGTACTAGCTATTTGGAGACAAGGAGTACTGCTTGGGCCCAGGAGTTCGAAGCCAGCCTTGACAGCAGCGTTAAGTCCCAACTCTAACAAAAGAATATGACACGTGATCAGATCTCAGACACACAAGACTAGCTGTGTGGCAAGCTGTAACTTTGAGGAATATTAGTCCCAATGACCACTCAATTTTTTTCCTTGGGGGGAGGGAACCCTTTACATCAGGGTCTGGCAACATAGTCCAGGCTGGCCCTAAAGTGCAACAATCTTCCTGTCTCAGCTTCCTGGGGTCACAGGACTGCACCATCAGAAATTCTAAATTCTAACACTGAGACATCACTTGCAAAGCTGACTCAGGAGGTCTGAGTCTCTTAAGATCCAAACCATGTCTTCAAAACACCCTGTCTACCAATTACGTGCCAAGCAGTCCAACCCTTTTTATGTAGATGAACCTATGCTAGATTTTGTAGTTACTGATTAAGCCCCCCTACCCATCACTTAGATTAAATCCAAAAGCAAGTAACATTTCTCTTCAAAACAAGGAGAATGACCTCAGTCCAAAAAAAACTTTATGTTCCTTTATTGGAGCAAGATTCCTGACCAGTATACAGTGATGAATTCACTAAAACAGAGACCTGTGCAGAAATCACACACTATCCATCTAGACAGGTTAGGGTTACACTTTGCCTATTGATGGAATTCAATTTATAAAGTTTTACACATCAAAAAGCTTTGAATTTGACTAGGCTGTCCATTAATTCACCTCTGAAAAAATGGCACTTAATTTCAGCTCTATTTTACAGCAGTGAAAAGCTTACGCATTAGGAAGCCTCTCAAAACATTACTCTGCCCGGTGGCTTTGGGCAGTCTGCCGTCCCGTCCTACCCAGATTCACAGTGGCATCTCCATTTCCTCCTGGACCCCCGGGGCTCCGGAGACAAAAGCGCTCCTGACCCTTGGAGCGCCCCTTCTGTGGCTGGACGCTGCTGCGGCCCCAACACACACGCCAGCAGCTGCCCCACAGGCAAGAGAGGCACCGGAGCACCAGGCCTGCGTGAGGATGGCAGAGCATGTGCCTACTACTTCTGGGTACACAGAGGGCCATTTTAAAAGCTGCCAATTGAAGGTTAAGAAGAGTACAACCTGAACTCAGCTCGGATTCTGGTACTTCAAATCAGAAATCACTGGCAAACTGTACCGTTTCCCAGCTGTGGAGACATTAAGACATTGATTCAAATCCCTTTAACTCCATCTACATAGCCCTGAGGTCGTCCTGCAAAGTGCGTATATCAAAAAATACGGAGTTAGGTAACAAAGTCTGACAACGGGGCTTTTACAAGTCAAACTTGGGAGGCCCTGTGGTACACCCATTCTGAGAGAAAACATCCAACCCTTTGTGTACACATGTAGTTTTATTGTAACAAAGCAACTTGTACACTTTGAACGTTTAAAACTGCGCATCACCTTTTCCTTTCCAGTGAAAACAAAAAAATTTTAAAATAAACCAACAAAATTACAATAGAGAATGTCAATTCCAAATAAGACCCTACAGGTTCTGCTGATTCTCCCATCGAGTGGCAGGGCTCAAGTCATCATTAGGAGAGAATTTTATTTTAAAAGTGTCATCTTAAACTGCAAGGATGTCTGTTAACATCACAATTAAACATGCCAAAGGAGAAGCCATGTTGTCAAATGCCCGCTTAACCCACCCAAACATCTCAAACCCACCCTTTGCTGACCTTCTATACCCCATTTTTTTAAGTTTTTTTTTTATCTTTTTTTAAACAAGAGAAAGTAGACAGGTACATGTTGGTAAATGCTAACTGTCCATATTCACATAGAGACACAGTGTAATCTCTGAGCCCAATATACAGAGAAAGGAGGAAAAAAGCTAGAATTCTATGCACTACTACACAGGGGCCGAGCACCCTCCAGCTTCCAGCAGAGTGAAGGGAGCGGAGAGTTTTCTTTTTTCCCACAGAGCACGGTGGTGCTGATTCCAAAAAGTTTGTGTGGAGACAGGAGGGATCAAAATGAATTTAGAACAGAAGGTTGTAGAGATCCTTTTCCCACTGCATTCTGCTCAAGGTTTCTCCCCACAAAGTAAGTCGAGAACCATGGTGTTTGAGAAGAGAGACCTCAAGAACAGGGCGACTGAGCACAAGAGGGGGGAAAAAAAGACTGCAACTTGCTCCCAGGGACTGGAGAAAATTTAAAAAAAAAAAAAAAAAAAAAAAGGAAAAACAAGAAGGTTGGAATCCATCAGTATTCAATTAGTCATCTTCTCCTTCATCCTCCTGCAAGAGAAAGGGGGCAGTTAAGTCTTCAGGATTAACCCCAGAGGTCACACCCTTGCTTCCATATACGTAGACCCCTGCCACCATGAGCACCATTTCCTGAGTACTCCCAGTTTCCTGAGCCTGTGTATTAATTAATCTGCACCATAGCAAAATGAAAAGCCTATGATGTTGTGTCAGAATATTTGGAAATTTCTCAAAAGCAAATCTTTAAGCAAGTTTTGAACCAAATAACCTAAAATATAACCAACCTACAACCTGACCATCTGCATCTCTTTTTGTGGTTTTTTTGAGACAGGATCTTGCTGCATAATTCAGACTGCCCTCAAACTTGTGGCAATACTCCTGCCTCAGCCTTTCATGTGCTTGGGTTACAGGTACATACCACCACACCTGGCCCAGGGCCTAAGTTGATTATTAAAAGTTCTGTAGTTTCAGTCTGGGGTGTAGCTCAGTGATAGAGCACTTGTCTAGAATATTCAAGGCCAATCTCCACCGCCACAAAAGGGGAGGGGCACGAAACATGCAGTTTTTGGGAGACACTTCTGAACTTGACCATCTGTAGTACTACTGATTTCATTAAGTACTGGCTAGGGAAAGACAGGCTTGTGGCCACAAGAGCCAACATAACCAGTTAAATCATTAACATGAACCAGACACTTCCCTGATTCTATGGCAACAAAACAGTATATCCTCCCAGTCAGCAGGTCACACCCACCAGCCTGCACCCCTCATGGTGGAGTCCTTCTTGGGCTTTGCCTACTTTCTTTACCTCTCCTTCCTCCCCTTCATCATCATCTTCATCCTCTTCACCTTCATCCTCATCCCCTTCTTCATCAATGTCTTCCAATCCTTCTTCTTCTTCATCATCATCATCATCTTCTTCTCCCTCCCCTTCCTCGTCATCCATATCAGGAACCTTAAAACGACAAGCGTTACCTTAAGAACTTACTTACTTTTACACAAACCTGACAAGTACCACCCTGAGTAAGCCAACACGCAACTCACCAAATAGTACTGCAATGGGTTTGGCCAGATATCGTCTTTGATGACCTCTCCTAACTCATCTGCACCCGCGTCAGAATGGTCAGTAAACCAGGTAAAGAAGCTCTCAGGCTCTTCATGCTGCCTCTTCCTACTGGCTTTATTCTGTGTTTGACTTGAACGTTTCGTCAAATCCT